GCCAAGCTGTGTGTAAAAAGAAGTTGTGTTTTGGTATGCTACTGGAACGGATACAAGTGACGTACAAATGCGTAACTGCAAACTGGTTAGCACTAAGAACATTTATGGTTGCATCTTGTTTCCCATGGTTTTTGCATTTCCAATGGTCCATGCTAAGGTAGCGACCCGATGAGAACTGCACTTATAGGTCTTGGAGTTTTTGGATGAATTCATGGGGTTTAGTGATGCTACATTTCTATTGCAGAGTCGATTGATTCCGGGAAAAACCTCCTGCTTCTGCATTGTATACGTACAGTGATGTTCTGCAACCCATGAATAGAAAATAGAGGGCTTATAACCTGCACAAAGTGCACTAATATTTAGATCTCAGATATGTTTTGCTCATTCTCTCAATGGCTTGGCCGATCCCGCTAGTTCAATTTAAAGGCAAACTCTAGCTTATCATCTGCAGCGCCCAAAGAACGCTTGAAGTTAGGCTGATTTCAAGTTGATATGTGGGGTATCTTACGACGAGTTGTAAGCCCGCTTTTTAAAAGCCAACCACGTAATTGGTGGTGGTTTCAGTGTAAATTATATTTGCTAGTCGATGCAGACCAAAGAAATCAGAAGAAAGGAAATCATATTGCGAACAGGAGGGCAAATGGATCAGACAGTAATCACGCAATTTGATTCCCCATCTGTCCATCAGACTGTTGAATTTAGTGGTCTTTAAAAAACTAAACAATATATCTGCTAAGACGCCTGTCCGTCAAGGGTAAAACTGTGGTGTAAGAATTTACGCCCTGGCTTCTATGCAAGCACGTTGATAGACATTTTTAAGAAAATCTGTCGATTTGATTGAAAACGCGAATGCGAGAAAAGAGTAAACTAAAACGACACATCTAGGCATGCAAAAATGCAGCCCTTAGGCAGGTAGTTCCCCTCCGTGTTTTAAAACCCATTGCTGCATCGTTTGTTGTATTCCCGAATATTAGACATTCGGGTTCTTTTCTACCGTTTTGTCGAAAAACAAATTTTATCTAATTTGATAGCCTCGCTGCTGTAGCCTCGCTGCTGTCGCGATGATGGACAGGCTTCTTTACATATTTGCCTGCTCTTGCTCAACCCATACTGCGGAAAAACATCACACTGAACTGAAATTACAAATAGCTGCACACCCTGAACTTAGATATTGCACTTTCGCATTTTCAGCGGGAGCTCCTTGTACACCTAGTTCCCGCGCGTACCAGCAAACGATATTTCATTTATTACCTCTTTGTTGCGGATATCCAAAGATGATTTAATAATTCGGCAACCTTATTTTCCAGTCCACTGCGATGCGCTTCAACACGCCGATATAGCACAGTTTAGTAAGTATGCTTGTTGCTTACTAAATGGTTGCTGTTGAAGTTCAGTACTGCCATGGTCTGTATCGCCCTCCAGAATATTTCGGTCTTTACGTCGCCATAATATTAGCGGCAGACAGGGACGTCAGCCAAGACCCACTGGCTGTTTTAATCCGCTTTCATAGCAAAATGCATAAAGGGAAAGATGTTATTGAAAAAAAGTCTTTGAGCGTTAACACATGGAAATGTGCGATTTCGACAAATGCATCATCCACATACCGAACCCAGGACTTCGGTCTGTCGTGTCGGAAGATTAGCAACTGCAACAGTTAAGGAGTATTATGACTATGAGTCCTAAAATCGGGAACCTACAAGTATGCTGTTCATGTCACTTACCGTCAAAAATGAAGTTTTTCATCGGATAGAACTTCAGAACCCAGATGAGCCAAAACCTGACGGATTCCATCCTGTATTTCACTGTCGCATGAAAGTAGATGCGCGGCCTCGCATGTCAGACAGTAGGATATGGAAGAAAAGGTGCATTTGTGTGAAAATATACCTCAATATCGCCTCACCAGAGACTTTTTCCTCTGTAGTGACGAGCAAACAGTTGTTCCTGAGTAGGTAGTCAGGAAAGTGAAATTTCGAAACAACAGTCTGCACTTTGAAGGGCCTTTAAGCGATAAGGGGGGAAGGAAAATAGCGTCATTCAGACTCGCGTTTTCGCTTCAATCGAAAATTACGACGACGATTGACGTCATGTGGTGATTTCGGCAGTGTTTATTTGTCACTATTTTTTACATATTTGTATTCCAATAAATATCGTGCGGTTCACCTAAAAAAGTGGGAATTGCCCTCCTAAGGGGCTGCTGAGTACACGTGCACTAGCATTTACTGGAGACTGGTAATTGGGATCAGGGTTTAGAAAAGTGTCGCCAAGGCTTGTTCACGGTACTCAGACATTGCCTGCAGTATTGTGGTTAAACTAACACATTACTTAGTAAATGTTTAATTGAGCAGTTTTATGACGTTCATTGACCTCATTTCCATGAATCCACCTATAATTTTCGGATTTAATTCCTAGGAAATAAACCATTACGAATAATTGTGTTTTCGGTCCAATCAGACTGTGTAAAACGCAAAAGCCACAGTCAGAAGAAATCGAAAGAAATGGCAATGGTGGGCCGGATGGCAGATTTCTTGAATACCTTAGATCATATCACTGAGGGGTGATCAAAGTCCAAACTTGCGTAGCCGCGTTATTCGAAAAATTTAAATGTATTCATAGCGTGCAAATGAAAAAAACGTACATTGCCAGCTGAGAGCCATAAACAACTTGGATCAAATAGCAACGTGCTGAAATAATCGCATTCAGAAACCATGGTATTACACCAGAAATGGGACTATAATGATAAAATGTGAGTTAGCAGCCATCATAAACCACATGAACACTTGAGATAAAAAAGAAGACAATGACTGCATCATCCTCTGAAAAGTCAAAAATGATACTTTGTTCAGAGCAGTTTTGATTGACTTACGCACCCATAGTGACGCTGCGCATTTTGTAAACTAAAGAAGGGTTGATAAACCCTTCTTATATAAATAGGGTGGTGCTCAATAACGATCTGATGATGTTCACGTCTTATACCAGTAAAGACCATTTCACGCGTAAATTATTTCCCTGTCCTAAACGTGTACTTAAGAAATATGCTCGGCAACGATGCTCCAAAAACCAGAGAGCGTAGTATCCCGGACGGTTAGTTTGGATTACAAGGTACGGTGTCGACGGCAAGAGAAGGAGTGTTGTGCCGACATCGTGCATCAATCGAGGAATTCAAAGGAGATGACGCTGGCCATCGTTAAGACAATGAGATTAAAATTCAGCCAATCTGCAAGATCAGCAAATTCCCAACCATTGATTCAATCCTCCTGTTGCTAGTTAACAAAAAGGAAGTCTGAATTCCCAGATTTAAATACTTATGCGCCAAATCTAGATTTATTCTTTGAGCCTCATGATTGATTCCTTGCCTAAATAATTCCTGCCATCGAAGGAGTGACACAGGCGTGCGAACTAATTATCGCAGAGGTTTAAGTGCTTCAAAGGCACTTAATTAAGTTTGGCGAGCAGAGTGTAACATGTTTTCTGGGATCTAGAGTTGTTAACGGACACTATTGTCGCAAGAAGTTGGACTCACTAGCAGCAATGAAAGCAGTGTGTGACTAATGTCATGAAATATTTGGCCGAAATGCTGTAATGCGGTTTCAATAAATAAGCATTACTTAGAAGGGGTGGAAAAATTGCTTATCGTGCAGCACGTCCTTATAGTATTTCGGAATGACCTTGATGTCGTCTTTTGATGCACTCCTTTTCTACCTCCTACTAGAACCACACTCGGTAAACATTGACTGCCTGCATTTTTCACATTTGTTTTTGATTGGGTTATGTAATATATTTTACGAAAGCTATGCGAAAGTATCCTTCCTTTTAATTGTTTGGTAGAAAGCACAATGTGTTCAAATTTTATGTCGGAAGAAAAAGTATATTCAAGTTCGGCATTTCGACCAACCTTTTATGAGCTCGATCGCGCATTGTAATTGTTTTCGCTGTTGACTAACGCTCATGGCAGATGAGTGGGTGGACAGGAAACGCCTCCCAAACGGAGACTGCAATACACAATGATCTATCACCATGTAATCACTGAATATGGTCATATATTCTTCAGCTGGAGCAGGATTGGGTTTATACCAAGTTACTGTGATATTCTAAATGTTAGGCATAGTCCTAAATGCATAGGGACACTATCAAAATGAAGTAAAATTCCCTTACAGGTCAAATAATCATTAAAATCAAAAGGCCTCTGGAGATATATAGCAGACCCGCCATAGTAGGGTGTTCAGTAAACGGTGAATGTTATGGACAAGATGCACCATAGGGCAGGCGCAATTCTTACAGACAAAGGCCCTGGAAATTCGAGGAATTTTCCAGTTGTACTTTGTTAATTTGAAGCTTTTTTTCCTTAAAAGGCATTATTTCTTTGTTAGTAGAGCATACGATCTGCTAAACTGAAGGCAATTGAGCTGCAAAAGGAAAAACATCGGGCCAGCCCGTATGACACACTTTAAGACGATAGAAGTCTCCTGCGCCCATTTGGACAGCTAGACATATCAAGACGGATCACACGACCCAAACATATGACAGTGTCTTCGACGGAGTTTTCCCGTGCGGAGTAAAAATGCATAAGCCATTTAAGCGAAGTTAGCCCGATAAATCCTTCTAAGCAAACAAGCTGTCCAAGATTTTAAACAAGTATAGTTAATTCTGTTGGTTTCGCTACAGCAGGCCGAGTTTTTGTGACAAGATTACTGGAACACGAAAGGATATTGAAAATGAATTCACCACATAGACCTCAAAATGAGATCCAGGGTGAGTACGTGACTTATTGTCTGTCATTCAAAATTCTTCTCTGGTTCGCATTGATGAAATGTCTTCAATAAAATGACATACAGACGACCGCGAAAGCAAACAGTTGTCACTCAACGTTTCGCTGTAACCAATGGCATGGCAGCAAAGTGAATAACCAAAAGGTATAAATATAGACATATATGCTGTGCGAAATTGTCAAACTATAGTTCCTGCGGTGACATCGGTCTGACACAATGAGGCTCCCTTCGTCGATGCTACTTCAGGCTGCGTTGATTTCCATGGTGGCCGTCTCCGGTGCGTTTTATCATTACAAAAAAATTAGGAGCGATGGATATAAAGTCACTAGGCTTGCTAAATAGTTCGTTTTGTTTTATTAAGCTGCTAGAGAGCCTCCAGCGAACAAGGTATTATCTCTTGACCTAACCAATTTAAGGCGTAATACCCCAAATAGACACATGCTGCTAAAACAACAAGAGAAATATGAGTATATATAAGGCTGTCACAGCTCGCACTCACTTAAATGTTTGCCGTTTTCGTGTTCAGAAGCCACGCAACAAATATGTAAAGGTGCTCGCACAGACTGCACCAGTCTGCCCTACAGTACAGGAGACCCAGCCAAGGATGCAGGCTGTCGCAATATATGCGCACATCAACGAGGTCTGTACTTCCATTTAAATGCATTCCCTACTTTGTCCGTTGAAACTGCAAACCTTTATTGCGTTCGCGGTCGCCTGTTCATCCAGAACATGGGGATTACTAAGCAACTTCTTTCTTTGTCTCAAGAGGTCATAACTGAGAAGACGAAGGCCTACTATTGTGAAGGGTCCGACCAGTCTTGCAAAGAGTATGATGTCTATGGAAGAAAAGGCCACGAAAGAATCTTCGAGAGGCACGTGATGTGTGTTCTGTCGTGTCAATTGGTGGGACAGGGTAATCAACTTTGCGACACTCGTTTTTTTACGCGATTACATACACTTTTTTCACATTAGACAGCGTGTGAAAGAATAAACTTGAGCCAGAAATGGGCTTTGTGAAAAGCAAGCTATTTTGTCTGACCTGGAAGTGATCATGCATTTTTAGTGGAAAGCAGCTCCGCGACGTCCTTGAAAGTGTGTGATGACAAACAGCAATCATGTCTCCAGATTTTGAAGAAGAACGGAACCTTTAATGCTTACAAACTGTGCATTCCCAAGTGCAGTGGTTGGACCGATCGTAAGCTCTCATGTTACCGTCGTAATTTTGCTGAACAAATTTGTTCTTTTTACACTGCGTACATCAGTTAATTATTACGATGTTGCTTCAGTTTTCTCTACCTGTTGATATTAATCATGATTTTTTTCCAGCTGAAAAGAAGAAAGAGCACACAGCACATACCTGCACCGAAAGTAATGCCTGTCAGGAAGGGACATACTTTACCAAGACAGAAGACGAGGGATTTGAAAGTGTTAAGACGTGTTTGGAGAGATGCCTAGCAGGTGATGTTTGAAATGCACTGTCGGTTTCCAGAATCCTTGTTGCCATAATGTCCATACTACTTCATAGTAGGAATTGCCAGTAATAAGGCCTGTCACGAATAACTGAGAATATCTATAACGCTCAGTTGTAGGTCTGATTACATGTATAGTCGTGTTTTAAGGTCAAATTGTTAGGCAGGCATAACAAGGTGTTGCGAGCCCATATACGTTTTGTCACACATCTTATTCAAGATTTTTCAAGACTGTCATTAGGCCCTTGTGAGAAAATTAGTTTCATACAACTGTTACCGATGTAGTAAGGCAATTGTTTGATAATATCTCAGTTCTCGCCCGCTAAGCATTATACAAAAATTTCTAATGCGCACGTTGTTTTCTTTGCAGTTACATTGATAATCTATCTGACTCGCGTAATTTCCTGCGTTTATTTTAGAATGAGCGTTTACAACATCTCTTGCCTGGAAGTGGATGGTATTGCAAATGTTTCATAATTGGTGTGGTGTGGATGTTGGTATTTAGCACAATCATGCCCATAAAATAAACGTTAGCGGGGATTCTAACATGCTTCTTGCGCGATATTACAGAAAACGAAAATGCCGACATTCTACTTATTCGATGGCGCCTATTCCATTGCAGTTGGATATATTCATAGGTAATAATCAATGCAATTAAAGGCCCTATTAAAAACGGTTCATACAATATTATGTTATACACGTAATACAGAATATTGCTTTTGAGCTTGCAGGATTGAAATGCGGGAGCATTTAGTTGCGGACAGTTATGAGAAATGTAAACAACTATTATCCGCATTAGGGAAGGAATTTCGCAAATCAGTGACTTAGTAAAACAGACCTGCTGTTTCAAGTTAGGCGGTGTTTTTTAAGCAAGTATATGTCCAGTCTTTGCTTAGATGTCTCAGTGGACTGTAGTGGAAGCGTGGACTTTAAAACTACAAACAGTAATATATACAGGAAAAACTAACTCCAAATGGGGAAATTGTGTTTACCAACAAAAAAAATGTATAGATCCGAAGAATGAGAAAAGGAATGTTCTTGACTCACGCAAAGTAGAATCCTCTCAAGTAGCGAGATAGTATTCCGATGAGGAACCGGTTGAATAGGAACAGTCGGTTCCGCGATGATATGATGCAGTAGGCTTGTGAGGAGGGAGTCTCCGTCAGCTCATACGAATTGCTAAGAATGTTGAGAGGTTACAAGCGAAGGCCAAGAAATAACGACATCAAGCACACTCGAAACCAGAATACACGTTGACCGCCGCAGAGATGTTACTCTGTATTTCCGTTTAGTCAAACAATTGTACAGGAAAGTCAGGTGTACAAGAAAGTGTAGAGAAACAAATCAAAAATGTACAAAAGCCTACAGGACTCTTCCTAGTGGTCTTGTCTAGAAACCCGTTGCAAGCACAGCCGACGCCCTGCGAATGAAATAACCGTAAACATGCAGGTGGAACTGTTATCCAGAAATTTTGAGGGAGTTCCCGCTTAGGTTTGTTCATGTGGCAAAGGCGAGAAATTCGTCGAAGTGCAGGAGGCGGTCTCGATTTCTAACAGTCCGGTAGGCCTGTATGAGGGCCTCTCGTCCAGTACTCAAGAGAAGATAGGTTAAGTTAACCAATTCTGTAGATGCGAGATGAGGACTCAAAGGATTTTACAATTTTGATCGCTCCCCTCCGAACTGTTTGCTAAAACGCATAGTAGCTTTCGTTACATTCTCGTCGGACCAGTACAGTTATATGAGAACGGGGTAGAAGAATAACACGTCAGAGAAAATAAAAATCGATAAAAGTTCTACTTAAAACACGGGCGGGTATGGCAATGTGGGGGTGGGGGTGGGTTATAGCAGTCATTGTCAGGCCCGAGGTGAGAGCGGAAGAGCGCGAATTGTAGCAGCGCTAGCCGACCTTCGATCACCGTAGGCGCTGAGCCTGAACGGGGTTCTTCTGCGCGCATAAGATTGGCTTTCGTAGGCTAATGGCGGTTGCTTCCGCTGTCGCTAACAGGCGCTAACATCCTTTGAAGCATTATCCCTTGGTCCTAAGTTTTGCATACCTCGTCGAAAAGTTAATCAGTTAGAATTTGAAACTCAGTTCGAGATCCTATGGAACCAAACCCATGACCTAGTGCCCGCATCCACAGACAGTATCCAAAACCTTAAATCAAAACTGGTGAATTGCAGTTATCAATACCTGAAGAAGGGGCCAAAATGTCAGGGATTGCGGGCAAAAGCACATGTGGAAAAGTTTAAAGAACTTCGACAAAACAAAGATATCTTGGTAACTAGACCAGACAACGGAACAGGCGTCGTTATAATGAACAGATCGGATTACGTAACGAAGATACAGTCCATATTATCAGACCAGAAAAAATTCAAGAAGGGCGACAAAAAAAAGGATTGCACGGAGGAAGTAGAGAGAAAACTGACTGACTGTCTAAGAAGGCTCCACACAGCGGGCCACATAAGCGACTGTGACCTAGAACAGCTTCGACCAGTCGGCATACATATCCCTCGACTATATGGCCTACCTAAGATCCATAAGGAAGGCCTATCAGTCCGTCCGATTTTACATGCGAAACTCTCCGTATCATGCGATAACAAAGTGGCCAGCAGAGAAACGCAAGTCTGTACAGCGTCAGCTAGCACAAAGCAGCTATCGAGATACCTTTGAATTCATTGACGACATCAAAGACCTTAACGTCAAAGGCATGGTGATGTTACCGATAGACGTCTCATCACTTTTTAATAAACGTTTCAGTCACCGATACAGTTGACTATCTCTGTTATTTTCTATCTGCCAGCCAGCAGAAATAAGGGATTCTGACGAATACACTCAAGGAACTATTACTTAGATGCACATTAAATGTGCAGTTCCTGTTTGACAACTAACTCTACAGACAAGTAGCCGGCGATGCTATGGGCTCACCCCTTGGACCTCTGCTAGCCGATGTCTTCATGGGAAAATTGGAGAGATTCCAACTAAGCGAACAGATCGATAAGCTTAAGCATTGCGGTCGCTATGTTGACGATATTTTTGCCATTGCCACTGCAGAAACCGATGTAGCAGCCCTCTTAGATATAGCAAATCAGGCACATCCGTCGATCAAATTCACGCTGGAGATGGAAACGGCCGGTACACCCCTTTTTTATATTTTCTTCTAAGCTGGAGACCTGACAGCAGTGTCCGAAGAAGCGTCTATCGGATGAAAACCTGGCCTGGACAGTACACGAACTTCGCCAGTTTCGTACTTCTCCAACAAAACGAAATCTAGTCCGATGTTTGGCACAAGGAGCTAGAAAAAATTTGCTCAACAGATAGCATCGAGGAGTAGCTCAGAAAAATCAAGGACTTCCTTCGCGAAAACTGATATCCTGAAAGGTTTATTGAAAAGAATATTGCTGAACGACCGATCCAACGTACCACACCGGCCGCCGAAAAGAAGACTTTGTTCCTCAAGGTCCCTTTCCAAGGGGACACCGCGAGTGAACTCCTAAGGAAACGCCTTGATCAAGCTGTCTCGCGAACCTTCCCAGCAGCAAGGGTTCAAATAGCATTCTCTACTAACCCTATTTTACGCGGAGAAGGTAAGGATAAGTTGCCACCGCAGACCACATCAATGTGCATATATTCCTTTACTTGCTTCTGTGGAGCAGGCTATATTGGTCGCATGAGTCGACGCTTATCCAAAAGAATACGCGAACATCTTTCCGCATGGCTGGCAAAAGGTGAAACTAGGAGAATAGACAGCACCATTCTCGCGCATGTTGTCCATTCTGGACATCTTGTGGACCCCAAAGAAGTTTTTTGTGTAATTTATAACGTCCAATCTAGCTACCCTAAGCTACTAGGTCCGCGCCTGTTAGCGACAGCGGAAGCAGCCGCCATTAGGCCACGAAAGCCAATCTTATGCGCGTAGAAGAATCCCCGTTCAGGCTCCGCGCCTACAGTGGTCGAAGGTTGACTAACGGTGCAACTCCTCCTGCGCACTTCCGCTCTCACCCCGCCCCTGACAATGACTACAACTACCCCTCCCCGCCCTACCCCCTCCCCCACAGTCCCACACCCCGCCTGTGTTTTAAGGAGAACTGTTATCGATTTCTGTTATCGCTGACATGTTCGACTTCTACCCCGTTCTCATGTAACTGTACTGGCCTGACGAGAATTTATCGAAAGCTATGTATGCTCGCCACCTCGTCTTCTGATTACTGCTATGGGAATTTTCGCAACTCTACAACGCATAGTCTTTGTCAGCCAGTGGCGCCACGCGTACATTTCATTTTTCGGTTGCGAACGAATAAGGGCTAAAATAACAGAACACCTTCTACCCTTTTGGGCTCCCTAACAAATTGGGAATAGTGTTTTAGAGTTGAAAAGCTGTTAATGTCAGTGCCTTTCTATTCAGTATCTTTTGAAAACACCTTCTACCAAGGAGGTATTGGTGATACTCTCCATTTCTGCTTTCGTTTTTGTGCGACACAATTCTCAAGGTTAAACAGTTAGCAGCCATTTATAGAATCAATCACATGGTTGACTCCCTCTTGCTGGGTCTGTCCGTCATTGTCGTAGTTGCTCTCCCAGTACGTTTTGAAAAATATTGTTAAGGTTTCTATTTAAAACGCGTAAATACCATATTTTTATGGTGAGTTCGAAAGTGTTGGTCGCGTTCATAAGAAAAAGTCAATGGGCTTCCTAACTTAACACCAACTTCCAGAACTACTGTAACGACTTTGGAACTTATCGTCCCCGCACATTCCTATTACAGCTAAGGTAACGATTGTCTCAAACTATTAATGCTCATATCTTCAAAATGCACGCTATCACCTCACGTGGCAGGCCGAAGTGATTTTATTTATGACATAAATCAGGGATTTGGTTTGAACTCCAAATTAGCGTTCATTGAAGCGCGGAGAGCTGTTTGAAATAATTGATATCTAGAACATACACCGTGGGCTTCTCATTTTCCAGTTTAAGCTGTTTTTGGTCATTCAAGTAACTCCGACGATGGGCATCCAGAATAATTTCAAGTTGAGTTACTGCAGTGCATGGGGCAACTGTGTAAGGATATTCAAAAAACCTAAACGCAATTCGTCGTGGGTACGCGATGGGTTCAATTTAAACCCGTATTCTGGCCAACAGCCGATGTTCCGCTTTATATGCCGCAGACATTCCTTAAGCGTCAATTGCAGTAAGCTTCACACGCACCCATTAAGCTCCAGCACTTATCAAGATAGACGCTCGCATTCCTACGTACGTTGAAAGTGATAATTCGAGCATCACTTAGTTTAAGATTAACATAATCATTTTACTGAGCAGTAAGCAATTTTGTTTGACAATTGCGCAGGCAGCGCTAGAACTCAGTTATTTCGTAGATCATGCTACAACTGTCCAATGGTATGGTGACTGTCAAATCTGCACAAGTGACT